CCCACATGGCAAGAAAAAAGCTATCATTATAGGTGACTGGTGCAACAAGCGGTGGTTCTCTTGACATTTAGGAGATGGTTAGTGAGCTCATGTGGGCTGAGGAGGACCTTGGCTTTGGGTCCAAGGCATATAACGATCAACAGTGTGTGTCTGCAAGTATGAATTGAGGCAGGTTGCAAATCTGGAACCAGAAAGGGAACTTTTTTTTTTTTTTTTTTTAAAGAATTACGTTTTACTTGACTATTTATATTTGACCAGAGAGGGACAGAGAGAGAGAGAGAGAGAGAGAGAGAGAGATCGAGAGAGAAAATGAAGAAGCAAGCCCCCAGGTTCAGGACTTGAACCATAGTCGGCCATGTGTGAGTCCAGCACCCTTAATCACCATGCCACCTGCCAGCCCTGGGAATTCTTAATATTCCATCTTTTGACTCCCCCCTCTACATGTGGGTGAAATAGCCTGGGTCATGTTTACCTTTCTCAGCTCTGTTAACTTCTTGGTAAAAGCAAGAAGTTATGAGCTCGATTCTTTAAGTATTTAAATGCAAACATTTCAAAGTGAGTACATATGTATGTAAAGAAATGCAATAAGCAGGAAACCACTTTAAGCAGCATCTGCTTCCACCCACCTCCTCTGTTGGTCTATTCCCCTCAGTAGCATCAGGAAGTAAAGCTAACGAGAAAATTCAGCTGTGCTGTCTTAGGTACTAAAGTTTCTATTATGAATGATATGATGGTGGAATATTGTGCAAACCCCAGAAAGTGCAAGGTTATTCAGGAGAATTCAGCAATTTCACAGGTTTTATATTCCTTGACAAGAATTGATTCAATGGGTTTTTCCTCTGGATGCTTTGCTGGAACTATAGCAAGAATACAACATCTGCAAGAAACATTATATCATGGTTTCAAATTTGATACCCACAGAGAGTAAAGAGGAGATTTGAAGCGTCACATAAGCTTTTATTAAAAAACAAAGATCTCTGAATGGTATACTTCCAAGTATCAGTACAGCATCTAATAACCTGAACTATTGAATCATGAGTTAATTTTCTTTGTTATATTTTTAATTAATAAATAATAAATATATATTTATGGGGAACAACGTGATTTCTAAATTTTTATTTATACATATATACTTTTTAAAACTTAATCACTGTGTATCTTTACAATGTACAATATGTTTTTTCCCAGTATGAATACGGTGATATTAGTCAAGTCAAAGACATGATCAATGTGAAACCCTAACTTTAATTTTTGTAAAGTGGAGTAGGATATCCAATTTATCTGTATGAGTTAATACACTTGAAGGCTCCTGAGCAACGCCTGGTACATTAGAACACACTTGCCGATTAAATATTTTTAAAAGAAATCATTCTTTTTTAACTTAAAGTTACTTTTTATTTAATATTATTTTTCATTAAGTTGTATTCACTCTTTTGGGGCCGATGCTCCATGGTGCAGTACAAAGGTAACATAAATACTGTGTTAGGGCCAGTGAGTGGTATGCTGGTGAAGGCACCTGGATCCCACATGGCCATCAGTGTAGTTTGAGTCCCGCACCTGGCAGTTTGTAAAACACACCAGGTATGTGTGTGTTTATGCCTAAAATCCTGAAAGGAGGAGTGGAGGAGAAGGGATTTCAACATGACCATTCCGCATGGGGGCAGGGTTGCTTTCTCACTTTCCCCACCCCTTCTCTCTCTGCTTCTCTCCAGTGAGTGTGTGTGTCCTCTGGCAAATTTTAAAAAATACAAAGAAGCATGAGAAAAAAAAAAGAATACCACTTTGTGTCTAGTGTACACCTGATGAGCCCAATATTCTATGTACTTCTCTTCTCTCTCCTTCAGCTTCAGCCACTACACCGAACCAAAGTCCTTAGAGAATAGTAGTGACTCCCAAGGTCTGTCTCTTGGTTAGGAGCCTCCATGCAAAGAGCATAGAGAATGGTTTGTCAGACCTGAGCCCCATCGACATCCTGCACTAGTTAATTCTTCACTGAAGGGATTGGCCAGCACACTGCAGTATGGCCTCTATACGTTAGATGCCAGTAACACCCCCTTCCTGTTTGTGACACCCAAAATTGTTGTCTAGGAGGCAAAACTGCCCCAGGTTGAGAACCATGGCCTTCATACATTACCTCACTACTCCCTTCTTTATGATATGCTTAATTTACTTATTTATTAAAATTACAGTAACTGGAAAGAGGGGCCAGCAGGTGACATGCTGGTTAAGGCAGCTGGATCCCACATGGCTGACTGTGCAGTTCAAGTCCCAGACCTGGTGGCTTGAAAAATACGCAGGACATGTGTGCCCAAACTCCTGAGAGTAGAGTGGAGGAGAAGAGATTGTGACATGGCCATACGCCCGAGGCGATGATTTCTCTTTCAGTCTCTTTCTCTCTCTCTCTCTCTCCCTCTTTCTCTCTCTCTGCAGTGAGCATGTGTATCCTACAGCAAACTTAAAATTTTTTTCTAAAGCAATTGCAAAGAATTTAAGAGACAAAACAATAACAGGTGTAACACATAATAAAGACAACATTCTAAAGGTTCCGCGGGAGCAGTGTCTAAGAGAGTTCAATCCGGCATCAAAGAAACAGTAAATCCATTACATGCCTAGTAACCTCAGTGAAGAATTCAAAAAAATTCTTCACTCATTGATTCATTCAACAAATATTTATTGAGGGCCTACTATCAATAGGTGCCTAGCATTCTAGGCTAAAGGGATACAGTAATGAACAAAACAAACACTAAGCTTGCCCTCAGACAGATGCCATTCCACCTGACTTACTCTCACATGAGAGAAGCTGGATCTCTGGCCTCAAGGACCTAATAATTTTGTTGGGCAGACAAAACAATCACATACATGAAAGAAGAAAGAATTATAATGTAATCACTGTTCCCACTGACATGCTATAGGAGTTTGAAGAGGTGCTTAGAGCAATTAAGAAGGCCCAATGGAGGTGGGACTTGAGATGGGCTTCCGTGGAGCCTGATTCCAGTGCTTGCTACTCAAAGTGTGACCTAAGGATGGGCAGTATCAGCACCATTTGGGAGAGTATTAGTAATGCAAACTCTTGGGCCCATTCCAGACGTGTGAGAACCAAATCCACACTTTTGCAATGACCAGCAGACCATGTAATGGTTACCTTGCTGGATGCACACAGTTTGACTCCCCAACCCAGCAGCTTAAAACTCACGCCCAGCACGTTTGCATGTGTGCCCAGGAAGAGAATGAAGGAGATTGGATTGTAGCATGGCCATCCTCCCTGGGGGGTTGATTTCCCACTTTTTGTCTCTGCCTCTCCAGCGAGTGCATGCAACCTATAGCAAAAAAACTCTCTAAAAATATGAAAGTATCCTAAGAGATTTCTATGCACATTAAAGTTTAGGTGGCACTGCAGGTTTCTGGATAGGCTGGCATTAATTGTGAGCTAGATGGGTGGGAAATAGAGACTAGATTGGGGCTGCCAGCAAGTTAGAAATAATGAAGGCCTGGAACTAGGGATAAGGAAAACCCAATTATATCCTTTATCATCAGTAAAAACAACCAGAGGGAACAGCAGTTGGCATAATGGCTATGTTCCTGGACTCCCATGTAGTCGACTGCAGTTTGAGTGGCCAGTGAATGCACTCTATAGCAAAAAAATAAAATAAAATAAAATAAAAATAACCAGAAACCAAAGAGGAAATAGTAACTTTATCACCAGTCAGAAGGACTTGTGTTTGAATTCCCAGATCTACCACTTCTCAACTGCACAATATTTGAGTAAAATTATTCAATTAAATGAGCTTTTTTTCTTCTTCTGTAAGATGAGAGGAAAGCAGTACAACCCCAGAAGAGCCTTGTAAATATTCACAAGTCAACAGATACAAAACACTTAGCAGTCTCTGGCACAAAGAAAATACCACCCATCAATAATAATGATATTGATAATAAGCATATGCTATTCTCTGAGAAAGGTGAAAAAAGAAAAAGAGACACATTTACTGAGCATCTACTAGAGCCCTCCCCAGCCACCCCTCATGTTGAGTATAGACCTAGAACAAACTGCAAAGTAAAGAACTTTCTCCTTTTTTCAAACTGGAAATCGTATATAAGGTTTTTAAAATGTAATTAACCCCTTGTGTATTCCCAAAGGTGCCTCAATAATGAGATTCCCGTAATTGCTATTATTATCATTCCTACTGTTATTAGGGAACTCTCAAAAGAGCTTGTGTCCCTTCTGGAGTAGAACTTAAAAAGGGCGGAGGCAGCGAGTTGCAGAAACCAGTGCTGTGTGAGCTCAATTCAATAATACGTACTGCTAATGATCCAGTCTCATTCCCCATGCCTCTATTACCCTCATTAATTTTTCTGCCGACATACCATCTGTTTTCCGATCTCTCTCCCTTACATGTGCAGAACTTATGGGAGAGAGAAGCCCCAATCTGGCCGTTCTCCAAGAGATAGCCCAATAGGTAGGGGGAGGCTCAGATTTAAGTCACCTGAAGCTTGTTTGGGGACAGGGAACCCGGAAAGCAGGCGAGTGGCCACGGATCCGCCCAGTGGAGCGGCCCCAGGCTGCAACCAGACCGCAGGAAAGAACGGGGGTCCACCGACTCAGCTGCACTCTGTGACTCCACTGTCGTCCAGGTCGGGGAGCCGAGAAAGACTTCCAACTCTCCCCAAGTTGCAACCCCAGATGTCTCTGAGGCTGAATGTGCCCCAGCCTCGCACGCTCGCCTGCAACGTGGCTGCGTCTGGGACGCCCTCATACCCCAGGGTATCCCAAACTCTTCCTTTCTTCCTCCAGGCCCAGCCGTGTTGCAGGTCTCCCAGTCCCCGGTTTCTTCTCTCCGCGTGCCGGGAGAGTCTCCCCCTTCTCAGGCTCCAGAATCCCCAGCCAAACTCCTTCACTGCCAGGAGTCTTAGCTCCCCCGACACCGCCCGGCTCTGGGGCAGGGGCAGGGCCAACGGCCCCCCACCCGCCTCCAGGGCCAGGCGAGCGGGCGTGTTGCTGGGGCGCCTCCACCTCCTCTTCCTAAAGCGGGGAGGCGCAGACGAGCGGCATCACTCGAGCCCAGGTCCCAGCCGCTGCCACACACAGAGCGCAGCGTTCAGGAAGAGGAGCAGCAGCGGAGGCGGCGGCGTCAGCGGCGGGCGGGCGCCTGAGAGGTAGACTGAGTCCCAGCGGAGCCGCGGCGCGAACTGCCCACCTCCCAGCCCGGTAACCCCACTTCTGTATGTCTTTTCAGGCCCCAATCGAAAAGCCAGGGAGGGCCGCCGAGCTACCCCTGGAGGAGGAGCCAGTCTGAGCCCGAGGCGCCACCGCCGCAGAAGCGGTGCGGAGCAGCAGTCGCCTTCATGGCCCACTCACCGGTGGCTGTCCAAGTGCCCGGGATGCAGGTGAGGAAGGCCAGGCCTCCCCGCTGCCCACGTGACTGCCGGGGAGCCCGGCGCGCTAGGTGCTGGGCTCCCGCGGGGAGGGGTGCCCCAGGGCTCCCCTGTAGGCAGGGCCAGGCGATCTGGCCAGGTGACCCGGGAATTGGGCACGAGGTGTTTCCTGGCGTCTAGGCTAGGTGGTGCTCTACGCTGAGAAGGCGCGGAGGGGCTGGGGCGCGCAGCTAGGTGGGGATCACTGGGGTGGGGGAGGCATATAAAATAGGCCAGAGCGAGAGACACCTGCGCCTGCCGAACGTGGCACGGTTGGGGTGCTGGGGGGTGCGGGAACTTAACCTGGGAGACATGGAGGTGTCTCGGAATTAGTGGGGTAAGACGCAAGTCGTTCCCCCCCGCCCCGCGCGCGCGCACTCTCTCACACTCACACACACACACACAACACACCCACACACACACACACACACACACACACACGGGGCGGGGCAAGACTAGGGGTGGTGGTGGCGGCGGCGTTGAATTGAGCTCTTCCTGTGTGCGTAGAGCGAAGAGCGAGGCGACTTTTTCCATTTTGGTGCTGCTTCGTAAGGGTGAAGTTGGCTGTCGCTCCCCTACCTGGCCCATCCCATAGGTTGACTTGAGAAACGCAGAGTCCTGTTCAGAGTTGCTGAGGTGATGACTTCCTGAAAGCCCTCTCTCCCTGCCTTTCCCACAAGATAACTGTTGTTTGTGGTTAAAGGGAGCTTTTTGTCCTGGACAAGGAACCTAACTTCTTACTGGAGGGCTACCCAGCCCAAATGATCCCCTCCCACTAAAGTTTTATTGTACCAAACAAAAGCTACGTCCTGAGACATTTTATGCTGTCGTGTTTTTAAATGGGTGCGTTTCAGACGATCTGCTCCATGTTATCCAACTTTTTAAAGCATTCATGTTGTATTTTATGTCTTTGCTAGATAGTTTAAACAACCAATTTATAAATAGGTCAGAGGCTAAAATCGCTAAAGCCTCAGTCCCTGATGATTTTCTAAAAATATGAAAGTAAACTTTTTTAGTTTCAGAAAAAGATGTTTAGAGTAGTAAATAGCTTATGTTTCTATGGTAGAGCAAAAGCCACTGTGAGTTGGACCTCAGTTTACTTACTGATGCACAGAATTCTTTTTTGGGTTGTTGTTTGTTTGTTAGGAGTTGGCCCCGTTTTATGCACGGCCACCACTGAAAAAAGGCCTCTTGTGTAGGACATTATATGTAACCTAAGACTCCTGAGGCGTCCTAAGCACCAGGCCTTTTAGCTGCATTGAGGGCAGATCAGAGTTGATTCCCAGGAAACTGATGTATGCTTAATTAAAGAGAGGAAGGGAATGAGGGAGGGAGGAAGGGAGGGAGGGAGAGAGGGAGAGAGAGAGAAATGAGAAATAGTTGATTTTTTTTTAAAAAAAGGTTAATTCATTCAAGCTTTGCAAAATGCCGAACTTTCTTCTTCTTGGGCCCTTTCTCTTCTTCCCTTGCTGCCTTTCCACCCTGTCCACCCCATTCATTCAGTTCTGCCTTTGTATCAAGGGAATGAGTAGTTTGTAGCACTAGCTGCAGTTTTTCCCATCTGGAAGAAAGTGAATTTTTCCCACTCTGCTCTCCTTCCCATTATGTGGAGAGTAGAACATGACAGATGTGAAGTTTGTCTCTGAGGGTCTCGGTGCTTCTCTCTCCCCATTGTGTGTGCACTCCTGCATGTGGGCATCAGCAGAGCGCCTCCCTTTCATCAGGTTTGCAATTCTGGGGGACCCTTGTGTGCTGAGAAGAAAATGGTTTCTTTCTGGTCTTTATTTCATATGCCTTGATTTTATTTGATTTATATAGTTTCTAGTCTTCATTTGATTTGTATTGACTTTGATTTATATGGTTTAGAACTGCTTGCTGCTCCCTGCTTTGTTTAATTATCTGAGTTGCCTATCTCTTGAATTTAAAAATCTTAATTAAGGTGAATTCGAGTTTGAATCACATATTCTAAATTACAAATTCTTTCACTTATGCCCTCCAAAAGTTGTGATTACTTTGTCTGATCTAATTTCTATAGAGTATTCATCTCAATATTAGCAAAGAAGACAGGGACAGTTGTCATTTTATCTTAATGAAACAGTAAATTCTTAACTTCTTATTTCTATTTTCTTTCTAGATATGGTTCTTAAGCACTTGGTGCAATACAAAAGTTTTTTCCATAGTTTAAATCATAAAATACACTAAACATAAATTAGACCACATGCAATGTGGCTCGTGAGCCTAGATGACTTTTACTCGTCTTTGATGCAAAAAGATATTGCAGCCAAGATACAGAAAATGTATCATAAACTTGTAAAATTCTAGAGTTTTGTTAAAGAATTTTGGACCTTTAGAGTAGTAAGAAAACTTGAATTAACCATGTGTTCTTAAAATGAATGTATAGTATTTCTACCAATCAGGGTGAAGTGGTCGAGCAGCCTATAACTTTCTAACCTATAACTTTCTAACAGTTTATTTTAGAATATTATGAAGATTGATGGAAAAAATGATTTTTCCAGGAATAAAAACAAAATTACTTTATCCGCAATGTTTTTCTCCCTCTGAGGAGAGACGTGAAGTAGAATCTAAGCTACCTGTTCTATCACTTAAGACGTCCAACATTCCTGACTTTCAAACAAAGTAATTTCTGTTGCCACTAGTTTAAAATAGAAAAGAAACTTGGAGTGAAGAAAGAAAACCCAGGAATGGGTCCAGTGAAAACTCTTCCTTATGAATTAGTTATTCAAACTCATATTGTTGATATTTCTTAATACTGTGGTAATGAAAATTTTTGCCATATTACACTAAATGTTGAGGGTATGAATTTTTGTATTTAATTTCTGATCATTTCTTTAGTATATAACTAAAGGAATTTTCCATACCAGTAGCTGAACTATTGAAAAACATTTGAAGTACAACTTAAAAAAAAAAAAACCTTTCTTTCCACTTAGATATTTTTTCTTTAATGATTTAAAACCTGATTTTTTGTCCCTTTGAAGTTTTCAGTTATAAATCATACTTAAGCTTAAGCTATGCTCCCTCAGTACCTGCATTAGAATTTATGAAGACAAATACTTTAAATTGCTAAATCTTTCATGAAATGTAGGTGAAAAAATAAAGTTCAGTGTTGAATTAGAGTACAAATATTTTATGGTACATATTATGCAACTCACTGAGTAAGTTTTTAATTTCTGCTAAAGAATATTAAAATTAGGGTCAACTAGTGAAATGGTGGTTAAGTTGGTTGGATCTCACATGGCCAGGTGAATGATTAGACTCTTGGACCTAGCAGCTTGAAAATTATGCTGGGCATGTGTGCATGCATGGCCAAAATCCTGAGAGGAGAATGGAGGACAAAGGATTGCAGCATGGCCATCCCCTCTGGGAGGTGCTTTCTCAGTTTTCCTCTGTCTCTCCTTCTTTCTATCTCTCTCCAGTGAGCACACATGCCCCGTAGCAAATTTACAAAGGAGGAGAAGAAAAAGCAGTTTTAAAATTAGTCTTCATATATCCTTAAATGTGATCAAGTTGGTACAAGTTTAAAATGGTTATTTGAGATGTGAAATGCCAGTGAAGTTTAAGGATTAAGGAACACTTTATTGAGGACTTTATTTAAGAGTAAAAAGCATTGCCTGGCATTGGAGAACCTAGCTACTGGGTTCTGGGAAGGCTACAGTAGTGCAATACATGATCTGCTCTTAAAGATCTTAAAAACCTTCTCAGGTTGTTAAAACTAGTACATGAAATAGCAAACAATGCAAAATCTGTGAACTCACTCTAAGAATACTTTCTGGCTGGAAGAGTTGAAGGCTTCTAGGAGGTAACCCAGCCACAAATTATTTGAAAGATCCATATTTGGGAGGGCATTTCCAAGCAGGGAAATAGCTTGAGAAAATGTATATACATGAGGACATTTCACAAAGTTCATTAAAAAAATAAAAAGGAATTAAAGTATGAGCTTATTTTGGTGCAAAAAAATATATGTGCATAGATTTTTCATAATGTACATTTTCCATGAACTTTTCGAAGACCTGTCATGAATAAGCGAAAGTAAAAACACATGTGTTTATGTATACATACATGCACAAGCTTTAAGAACAGAATAAAATCTCTTGGGCTACAGTGAAGAATTCCTCTAGAGAAATAATAGATAAATTGAGAAAACTGGTTTGGCTCTAGATTATGGTAGTCTATCAACAGTAGGGAACATTTTGGGTAAGCAGGTGGTGTGGTGTTTAAGGCACTGGGCCCCACATGACACCAACTTCACAGTTCACGTCCTGGACCTAGTGGCCTGAAAATCATACTGGATACGTGTGCTTGTATGCCCAAAATCCTGAGAAGAGAATGAAGGAAAAGGGATTGTGGAGTGGCTGTTCCCTCGGGGGGTTATTTCTCACTTTCCCTTTCTCTCTGTCTCTTTCTGGTAAACACACTCACCCTATGTCAAAAAATTCTATTAAAAGAGACCAGCTACTGGGTTCTGGGAAGGCTATGTTAGCATAATGGCTATGTCACTGGAGTCCCATGTAGTTGACCGCGGTTTGAGTCCTGGACCTGGTGGCTTAAACTCATGCTGGGCACGTATGCGTGCATGCCCAAGCTCCCGAGAAGAGAATGGAGGAGAAGGGATTGTGGAGTGGCATTCCCCTTGCGGTGTGATTTCTCGCTTTCTGTCTCTCTGGCAAGCGCACCTGCCCTATAGCAAAAAACCTGTCCCTCCCCCCCCCAAAAAAAAATCTATTAAAAGAAAATTCGGAGTAAGAGAGAATCAGTGAGCAAAGTCATGTACAAGAAGATAACTCTCAAAACTGGATGAATGGGTGACTGGGAGGTTAGATCTACAGAGCCTATTTTGATGGGCTCATTGTAACTGTACAGATGCAGTGGATCTTGCTTTGACAGATTGCCTTCCATATGCCTAGTACTGTGAGGGAGATAATTTAATTACCAGACTTAATAATAATTAGCTAGTT